ACAAAAAAAGGGCAGAAGAAATGGCTGTCTAATGGAATGAAATGCTTCTGGCATATGTGATTTCCACAGTGGGTGCTCTCTCTTCCCACCTCAGCCTTTTAGAACCCCTTCTAGGCTCAGCTCAAATGGATACTGAAGGTGGCACAGTGGATAGAGCTCCAGCCTTGGAGTCAGGAGGACCTGAGTTCAAATCTAGGCTCAGACTTAACACTTAGTAGCTGTGTGGCCCTGGGCAAGTCACTTAACCCTGATTGCCTCTCTAAAAAGCAAAACAAACAAACAAAAAAGAATAATGAATCAATAAACATTATTAAGCACCTACTGTGTGTCAGGCACTGTGCTGAGCTGGGGAAAACAAAAGAGTCAAAAGACAGTCCCTGCCCTCAAGGAGCTTACCATCTATTGGGGCGATGTGCAGACAAATAAAACAAAGCAAGCTGTTCTCGAAGAGGCTCTGCATGACCCACTCCAGCGACTAGGGGCTTTCCACAAACCATACTTGGGGAAACACCTATAATGTGTGCAGGTTGTCCCCACCAACAAGCTGTGTTTCATTGTGGTTTCTGAATACCCAGCACCTGGCACGCGCTTAACAAATGCTTCCTGATCGATTTGATCGGACACAGGCAGCAGATGGATGGAGGATCTAGGTCCTGGGGTGAAGGGCAGGGGGAGAGGAGGTCCAGCTGGATTGCTTGGGGAAGCTGCCACCTTCTTTTAATGACCCCAAGTTTCTCCCTGGAACGCAGATGCATCTTTTTACATACCAATCTCCTTCCAGAGCTATTTTATGGCCATGACCAGGAGAAATGGAATCCCAAAGAATTGAAGTTGAGATTCACCCCGCAAAAAACAAAACAAAACAAAAAACAATGGAGAAGGGCATGATGGGCACCCTGAAATGCATTATAGTCAGGGAAGCTTCTTGAAGGTAGGGACTGCCTTTTGCCTCTTTTTGTATCCCCAGAACTTAGCAAAGTGCCTGGCTTATAGTAGGAACTTAATAAATATTTACTGAATAAACGAACCAATGAATTCAAAGAGGTGAAAAGGATGCCATTGAAGGAATGAATGAGGAGGAAAAAGAAGATAGACCGACCTCGTAGGGAGAAAAAGGGGAGAGGGAGGGAGAGAGGGAGCACTGACTGTCACGCCATGTGTTCTGCCTGTAGCTGCCATATCTGCAGAACAGCAGGAAGGCTCCTGGCACTTGGGCTGGACCCTCTAACATTCATGGCAGGCCAGGGATAGTCTAACAGGAAAGAAAGCAGATGCCCATTAACTAGGGAACGGTTAACCAAGCTCTACGGAATGTGACTGTGTTATAAGACATGAGGATTACTGAGAAGCATAAGAAGACTTACGTGAACTGAAGCAGGGGGAGGAAATAGACAAGTTAGCTACTACAATGTAAATGGAAAGAACCACCCACCTCCAAAACTGAAATTGATGCTGTGAAATTACAATGACCAAATGTGACATCAGCAAGCCTGGACTGGAGAGGGCAGCCAGGGGATGGCGGTAATGGGCAGGACAATGAGACCAGGCACCCACTGAGCCCTGGGGGGGGGGGGGGTTGTTGACCCTCATTAAGCTCCTGATTTCAAAAATTCTGCAAACCAAAATAACCCTCTCAATGATCCTGACGTTCTTCCAAGCCCGCTACTTTTTGTGAAATGTTGGGTTTGGGCTGGCTTTATTTTCCCACCTAGGTTAAGTTTATCTGCTAAAGAAACAAATTCTCAAGTGGGAAAAATGATTTGAGGGTGAGGAGGGGGGAAAGGGCAGGAACTGTAGGAATAAAGAAGAGAACGGAAGAACCCTGCTTGTGGCCTTTTAGAAACCTCAGCATCACGAGGCATCAGATGGAAGGAAAGGAAACCTCATGTCTAGGAAAGCTCCTACGCGGTCTCCTTACTCAGAGGTTCCAGGCTGGCTGCCTGCCTCCCAGGAAGCACCACCTAACAGGACCTTACATTTGCTTCATGTTAGCACAGAATTACACAATCTCAGAGGCCACTGAGGCCAACCCAGACCTGAACAAGAGCCCCGCCCCACCTCCTCTACAACCTCCTCTTTGCTTGAAGCCCTCCAGGGATGAGGAACTCACTACCTGTCCTAGTTAATTGGAAAACCCAACATATTAAAAAGTTTTCGATTAAATTGGGCCAAACGCTGCATTCTGTAATTTCCACCCACTGCTCTCAGCTCTGCCTTCTGGGGTTCAACAGAACACAGCTCATCTGCTTCCTCATGATGGCCCTTCAGATACTCCTCATGCCCCCTCTTCTGGCCAAACTCTAGATTGTCAGTCCAATCAGGACTAAAATATTAAGATGCTTAAAAGTCAGAAATAGCCCAGGGGACAGCAGATTTCACCAAGTCTTGTCTACTACTTACTCTTTCTTCCTGAGGCATCCAGAACCTCCGTGTTTCTCCAGATTCTATGCCTCTTCCTTCCTGCCTTAGCCTGTCTGTCTCCCCCCCAAACTGGGCTTGCACTCAGATTCACACGGAAAGGATCTAGCTAAATTTAGACTAAAGTGTTAATGATGGTGAGTACGTAGATGCATACCTTGCTTTATCCCAATGCAGAAACCACTTTATCCCCAAAGTAACTAAGGTATTAATGGTGACACTCAGGCATTGATTACTGATGAGTTCATCATATTTAAGGCAAAGCCAGCTTCTTCACTTGTCTCTCCCACCCATACCTCCTCAGGATGTTATCACAGTCTTTGTAGGTCAGCACTGTCTGGGGCAGCCAGGTGGCCCAGTGGCCTAAGGTCAAGAAACCCTGACTCAAATCCAGCCTCAGACACTTCCTAGCCGTGTGACCTTGGGCAAGAGATTTAGCCTCTGCCTGCCTCAGTTTCCCCATCTATAAAATGGGGATAATAGTAACACCTACCTCTCAGGGTTATTGTGAGAATCAAATGAGATAATAATCATAAAACTCTTAGCACACTGCCTGCTGCATAGTAGGTGCTTTAGAAATGTTAGCTATCGGGGCAGCTAGGTGGCGCAGGAGGACCTGAGTTCAAATCCAGCCTCAGACCAAACACCTGACACTTACTAGCTGTGTGACCCTGGGCAAGTCACTTAACCCCAACTGCCTAAGCAAAAAAAAAAAAAGAAAAAGAAAAGAAAAGAAATATTAGCTATCATCAGCATCATAGTAGAAGGAGGCTCCTTGCCTAGGAAATCACAGGTAATAATAATAACAATAATAACTAAAGCCCTAGGGAAAAAGTAACTAAACAAAGGCAATTGTCCTGCAGAATCAACTGAGTCCCACCCCAAATGAAGCAACTCTCGTAGCAGCCCCCAGGCTCCTGAGCCAAGCCGGTCCTTTTGGACCCCAGATCCCAGATGAGAACCCGCCTTCTGAACAAAAGGCCCCTCAGAGCTCATCTGTCGCTCAGATATCTGCCTCACCCCCACCCCCACCCCAGTCAGATGCTCCGCTGCTTCTCCATCACTGGGAGTGGGGATTCAGTCTGGCCCCATGAATCATCTTTATTAAAGTATGTGCCCATAATATTTTAATTGTAAATTAAAGCTTCACGCCTGGATGAGGCTGAATGCATTCTCATCTGGCTGAGGCCCTCAGCCAAGGCACATTAATGGGAGGCTCCATCAGCCCCCACACCGTTCTGGGGGGAGGGGAACCAATGCTCCGGTGGGGGGGGGGGAGCGCCTCTGGCCCATCCTTTCACTCCTCTCCCTAGATTTATTAAGACAATAAAGCTGTTTTACCAAGGCAAGCTGCAGTGGGTCCCCTGCCTCCACCCTCCAAAGAGGAATGGAAGGGGCCAAATTCCCAGCCTGGCTCTGCCCAGTGGATGGCCTGGTGATCTCGCTCCCAGGGCACTGGGAGACCAGAAAGAGGGATGGGCTCCACTCAGTCTGAATGGAGGAGATTGGGAGAAAACAGAAGTGCTTTAGGCCAAACCGAGCCCAGCCTGCAGTCCGATCTCCAGCTGGCACAAACACACGGGACCTCCATTCAGGTCTCCCTCTGGGCTGAGAAAGAGGCATGGGCAGGGTGAGCAGGAAGAATCTCCCTCCTATTTTGGGCTGTTAGAAAACTTCACTAACGGCGACGTGACTCCCCACTGCAGCTGCTCTCCGGGGGACTTCACCCACACATGCAACTTGGTGTGAAGAAGGAAAGATTTAATTTGGAAAAGTAGACGCATAAAGAGGATTTGAAACCAGGAACCAGGGGGCGCCTGGCGGTTTTGATGGGGAAGGAGCGACGAGGAGCTACATTTAGGGAGGCCAGAACTGCTTGGTTACCCAGAGCCCCCTAGGTGAGGGAGGGGCCTTTGGGAGGCATCACAGATGGAGTTCTGGATTTTAACTTGGGCCTTCCAGACTCCAAGTCCTGCCTCAGAAATCTACTAGTTGTATTACCCCAGGGATGTGGCTTCACCTTGGCCTCAACTTCCTCATCTGTAAAATGGGGATACTAAAAGCACTCTCCCCACAGGGTTGCTGGGGGGGGTTGCTTTTTTTTTTTTTTGGTGAGGGATAGGTAGCCTAACTCCTCAGGTGTCCATAGATTCTCAAATAAAATCCCTTCAAACTGCAGCAGTAAAGGAGGTGACCACCTGGGACAGCCCAGGACCAAGGTCCCTGTTATTTTTGCCCTGGAGGGCTTTCGGCCAAGAGTGAAGGTGAGCTCCACCCCCAGGGAAGGCGAATCTCCGCCTGGCTTGTGATACCTCTAGTGGCTCCGTGACAATCTGAACAGAGGACCACGGTCATCCAATCCAATGCCCTCATCAAACAGAGGAGGCAACCTGAGGCCCCAAAGCTTCGGTGATGCCTCTGGGCACATAGGGAATATGGCCCCGCAGCAGGATTAGAACCCAGACCTTGGACACCAACCCTGGCCCTCTTCCCCATGCACCACCTGCCTCCTAGGTGAGGACAGCCTGTGTAGCCTCACAAAAGGTCTCCCTGTGGACTATTTCATGATAGAAGTGACTTACTGTTTTCTTCTCCTCTGGAAACATCTTCAGAACTTTGCCCAATCAATGGGAATCTGAAAAACAGAAGAAGACGTGATCGATCCTTGGGAACCACGGTGGGCTGAGGCCCCACGGGCACCATTTGCCTTCACCCAGATAGAATAATGACCCGCAGTCCATCCAGCTTTCTGGACACCAGGCATCGCCTTCACCACTGAATACAAACCTACCACATATACGGTCCCAAGCTAAGCCTAGCACCAAATTGTAAAGCACAAAGACAAGCCTGCCCTCCGGGAGATTACTGTCCTCTAAGGGGTAGATAAGTCATGGCCAAGGAACAACCGAACTATGACGGATATTTTGAGCCAAAGGAATTACAGCTAAACACAGAGAAGGCCCAAGGCAGGGCTCGCCCTCAAGGGGCTCACGGTCTAACAATGCTTCTCCCGGCTTAACTCATTCAATCTAATTGTATGAAGAAAGGACCATGCCAGAAGCCTGGAAAGGTTGAGGGGAGTCACAGGGTGAGGGACTTCCCATGCCCAGCAGGGAAGAGTTTGTACTTTATCCAGAGGCAGTGAATGGGCAGACACCGAGGCCCTTTCAGTCACATTTGTGCTCTGGGTGGGGATGAATGAAGTGGGATGCTCAGAGACCAGCCTCCCTCGAGCACATTCACTCACACTTAAACACTTGTACACATAGAAACTGCAGCAGTGAGCAGACATCGTGCAATCCCTGCCGGCCCCATCACACCAATTACTCACATTTCTAAAGGGCCTTCACGGCTAGAAAACGCTTTTCTGACAAGCACCAGGAGAAGGTGTGATAATGTCGTTCCCATTTTACAGATTAAGGCACTGAGGCTCAGAGAGGGAAAAAAGTGACCAAGGGGTCACATGACTTGTGTCAGCAAGGGGATTCCTGTTGATAAGGGGCAGTCCAGCTAGGCTGGCGATCTGGATTCCCAGTTCAGAATTCTTTCTGCAGGACACGTTGTCATGCTAAAGAAGTACGTTTCAGAGGAGTGAAAGTCTCCCACTTCCGTTCCTAACTTCACTTGCACTGTACTCCCACTCCCAGCGAACCTGATTTCACTTCCTCATTCTAAGCCCCCTGAGTTGTGTCCTGTCTGGCCAGGGACCTTGGTCACTTCTCTTCTGCCCCTGAGAGCTCAGGGACTCGGCCCAGGGGGCCTCAGGCAAGCAGTCTGGGAATTCTGCCCCTGAACCAGGACACGCAGACTCACGTAACCCACTACGTAGCATGGCACGGTTTGCAAGGCCCCTTTACGCATGTTTGTCCTCTTTAATCCTAGGCAGACCTGATGCCTCCCAACCCCCGCCTCCGCTCCTCTCCCCTCCAGGGGTTCCAAGCCTGGCAGCCTTTGGGCCACCCACCTTGGCCCACGCTCTGGTCTGCTGCTGAGGCCACCTCAAGCCCAGGCTAGAGCAATCCAGAGAAGTGAGGCTTCTGCCAATCCAGGGCTGGAGGGTCCCCATTCCCAGGACATCCCAGGCCAAAACTCCTGAAGGAAACATAAGCTGTCTGAGGGCAGGGATGCTCTGGCTTTTGTAACTACAGCTCTAGCTTTTAGCGTGGGCTTGGATCATATTAAGCTCTTAATCAATCAACAAGAGCTTATTATGTGCCAGGCACAGTGCTGAACCCAGCTTTGCATTTCATACAGCCCTACTATGTGCCAGGCACAGTGCTGAACCCCAGCTTTGCATTTCTTCATCTTCATCATCACCATCACCATTATTCATACAGCCCTACTATGTGCCAGGCACAGTGCTAAACCCCAGCTTTGCATTTCTTCATCTTCATCATCACCATCACCATTATTCATACAGCCCTACTATGTGCCAGGCACAGTGCTAAACCCCAGCTTTGCATTTCTTCATCTTCATCATCACCATCACCATTATTCATACAGCCCTACTATGTGCTAGGCACAGTGCTGAACCCAGCTTTGCATTTCTTCATCTTCTTCATCATCATCATCATCATCATCATCATCTCTTTTCCGCTCCTGGACAATAAGGATCTCTTCAGGCCTCAGGCTTGTTTTTAACCCTGGAGGGGCCCCAGGCCTTGGTCTCTCTCTAACTTGGTGATTTTCACAGATAATCTCCAAACCTCAATTCCCTATTTATGCTTCAATAGGACAATACTGGACTAAGCTGGTCGGGGAGTTTACCCACTGTCCATTGATGTCATCAGCTGGTAGCTACATAAAGCACCATAACTAAAGCTCCTACTGTGTGCTGGGCTGGAGATACAAGCACACACGGGAATCAGTCCCTGCTCTCTGGGAGCTGCCCCCACCAGACTGGTAACCGCCAGTACAATTAGCCAGAGACGTGCCCTCCAGGAAGGCCCAGCAATGCAGACCCCGATCCATGGGAGGGCTGGGGGAGGAAGCATGGGAGGAGAAGACTAAATAACAATTTAATGCATTAGTCCTTCAGTTCTTCCCACCAGGCTCTAGCCTTTTATTCCATCTCAGGTGATTAACTGAGCACTTTCTGCCTGGTAACCAAGTCCCCCTCCTAGGCCTTCAGTCTAAAGAAGAATGTCTCTTCTTGGGATCCCATTTCCTGGGGTGGGGGCGAGGTAGCATCACAGGAAGCTAGATTTAGGATTTTTTTTTTTTGCTTTTAGGCAATTGGGGTTAAGTGACTTGCCCAGGGTCACACAGCTAGTAAGTGTCAAGTGTTTGGTCTGAGGCTGGATTTGAACTCAGGTCCTCCTGACTTCAGGGCCGGTGCTCTATCCACTGCGCCACCTAGCTGCCCCTAGATTTAGGATTTTAAGAAGCCTCAGAGACCAGCTCCTTCAAGCTCTTTCATTTGACAGATGAGGAAACTGAGGCACAAAACAGTTTAGTGACTTGACCAACATCTCATGGATCCTTGGCTCACAGACTGGACAGGACCTTAGAGGTCACCTAGTCCAACTTTCTCATTTGACAGATGAGGAAAGGAAGGCCCGGGCACTTGAAGGGGCTTTCTGAAGATCACAGCCAGCTGGCACAAAGCAAAGTTGAGATTCCAGTCCAGATCCCTGACTGTATATCCAGAGGTTCCATGAGCATGTCGCACCTGGCCCCTCACATCCTGCTTTGTTCCTCCTGGACCGCAGCCCTGGGAATTAGCCAGAATCCCCACTTGCCAATCTGGATGTTCTCCTTTCTAGACCCTAGAGCCTTTTCCAACCCAAGCTTCCCCAGTGGCCCGGCCTGGATGCCCGCTTCAGCCTTGTGCCCAGGTCTGGCCCATCCCACAGCTGGCCAATGACCAGGAAGAATTATCTGGGAACAGTAACAAGAGGCCATGAGCATTGTAATTGCAGCTCAGGAGGGCCAGAGCCCAGGGCACCCAGGGTCACCCATGACGGGTGGAGCCAGGGAAGGAAGAGGAAGATTCGAATCCAGGCCACGAGCTTCACCCGCCTCTGCTTGGGGCTTGGCTTGCCAAAGCCTCACTCTGGTGTCTGGAGAAGGACTAGAGACAGAAATCAATCTCACCGTCCTGAGATGAGGACTGGGTGGGGCTGTCTTCAGACAGGAGAGAGCAGGGTCCCTGGAAGGGGAGAGGCCTCTGCTCACATGGCATGCAAGGCTGGGATAAGCAGGGCTTTTCAAACAGGTATAACTTCCTTATTGCTTTGTTATTTGTTATTTTAACAGAAAAAAACAAACATTGTGTGTAGGTTTCCCGGGCCGCAGAACAGGTGCAGAGTTTTGGAAACCAACACCTTATTGGGTAATGCGCCTACCTGGAGAGGAATCCAGGTGGAATAGCAGGTTCGGGGGAGGACGTCAAAGGATGACGGGCTCCTGAGAGGGGAGCAAACTGATCCCAGGCTAGCCCCGGAACCAACCTGGGGCCTTCTCATTTTACAGGTGAGGAAACTGAGGCTGGGGGAGATGACATGGGTGGCTTGCCCACCCAGCATCACAAAGGTAACGTCCTACATTCAAGGGCAGCCAGCCTAGGAACAAGGAGCATTACTGCTACAGGCCCCTATGCCATGCTTCCTCAATTAACAAACGCTCCAGAAATAAAGCCAGCTACCGAGACGAGTCAGAGAGGGAGCTCCCCACCCCCTCCACTACCGCCACCCCCAATCAAGGTGTAGCATCCACACACACCTAGGTGATTTCTTCCTCTAATACGTAATTCTCCACCCTTAGCCCTGGGATCAGCAGTCTGTCCAATTTCACAGCATCAACCCATCTCTGAAGAGCCTAAAACCAAAAGGGAAAATCCTTCACAAACCTAAGGGATACATGGGAGCCACTGGGACTATTGTTAACCCGACTCTCTGGGACACTGGGATGCGTGGGGAACCAGAGCCCGAAATGTTTTGTGACATCCCAAGGCTCTCTGGTTGTTGACTTCTGTGAGTAAAAAAAAAATGCCGTTAACAGATTTGTATAAAATCGGGAAGTCTGGGAATCAGCCCACCAGTGTTCAGCACACAGTAGGAGCTTGACAAGAATGAATAAACGAAGCACAGAAAATTATGATTTCACATAAAGGAACTCGCAGGCTCAAAGCAGCTGATGTTGCCTTAGTAACCAAGAGCAGGAAATTCAGCTTGCTGTTAGAACATACCCATCCTGCCTTTGAGATGACTGGGGGAAGGGTGGAGGGAGGGAGAGAATTTGGAACTGAAAACAAAAATAAAATGATTTTTAGAAAACAGCATGCCCATCCTATCTTTTTATGTTGGGGGAAGAGGAGAAGAGGGATTGATGGAGGGCAGCTTTTATCACACTGGCCAAAACAATAATAATAACAAACGTTGACAAAGCACTTTAAGTCTGGAGTTGCAAAGCACTTTGGGTAAATTATCTCATTTGAAATGAAGCAATCCTGTGGGTTGAGATTAACTTGATTCTGAATCTAGAGTCAGAGGTTCTGGGTTCAAATCCAGCCCCTGCCACTTACCACTGTGTATCCTTGGCCAAGTCATTTATCTTCCCTAGGTCTGTTTCTTCATCTGTAAGAGGGAGTAGGCTCTAAATCTAGGATTCCTGCTCAACATTCCACTCCTTATT